TAGTACATCAGAGGGCTGGGTTAGTACATCAGAGGGCTGGGTTAAGCATATATACATCACACTACCTAATACAAGCCCATGACTATATATGGTAATACATGAAGCGCAAGGGATCACGTGCTCCGATTAAGCACGTGACAAGCTGCAGGGGCTTGCCTCCTGAAATTTGAGGCTTTTCCCCAGGTTGTTGCTGGTACTTTCCATGCTAGCTTCCTTGTTAGTGTACGACTGCTTTTACTAGTCTGCACTAACAGAAATGCCTAGCATGTGATGGGGTGTTATAATGCAACACATGACTGAAGAAGGTGAGTTTTGCATTTGTTCTTGCAGACGCTGACCACTGTCCCAAATGCCCCGAGGACCAGCAACCCAACAAGGACCAAGATCAGTGTGTTCCTAAAGTGATAACCTGCCTATCCTACAAAGAAGATCTGGGGATCATCCTTACTTCCTTCGCTCTACTTTTCTCTTTCAGCACTGGCTTTATTTTAAGCATCTTTGTTAAGCACCTGGAAACTCCAGTAGTCAAAGCCAACAACCAGGACCTGTCTTTCTTGCTCCTAATTTCTCTCCTGCTTTCCTTCTTGTCTTCCTTCCTCTTCATTGGCCAGCCAAGGGGAGCCACCTGCCTTCTGCGACAAGCAACCTTCAGCATCATCTTCTCAGTGGCTGTCTCTTCTCTCTTGGCCAAAACCATCACGGTGGTGCTGGCCTTCCTAGCCACCAAGCCAGGCAATCATGTGAGGAAATGGCTGGGGAAGCCTTTGGGCAATTCCGTTGTCCTTTCTTGCTCTGCTGTCCAAGTTATAATCTGTGCTATCTGGTTGAGCTTTGCTCCCCCATTCCCTGACTCAGATATGCATTCCCAGGCTGGAGAGATTGTCCTGCAATGCAATGAAGGCTCAGTCACCATGTTCTACACTGCGCTCGGCTACATGGGCTTCCTGGCAGCCATCTGCCTGGCGGTAGCTTTCCTTGCCCGGAGGCTGCCGGGGGCCTTCAACGAAGCCAAGCTGATCACCTTCAGCATGCTGGTCTTCTGCAGCGTTTGGGTCT